TCTTTTTATGGTGTCACACAATTCCTGCATATTCCATTCTTGTGATTTCTTAAATTTTTCATAATCTTTGCTTGTGTGGTCTAGTTCATCCACTTTGTCTTCCAGTCTTGGTATTCTGTTTTCCATTTCGTTCATCCTATTGGTGAGGCTTTCACCTGTCATTTCTAATTGGTTTACTGAGTGTTTCACTTCCTTCTTCATTTCAGCCTGAGTATTTTTCAATATTTCTAACTCTTTTCTGAATTCACTCAGAAGTTTATCCCTATCTTCCTTCAGTTCTTTGATTTATATGTGTGTGTGTTCTCTAAATTCACTGAATTATTTTATCATGTTTATAATTGCTCTTTTGAGCTCCATGTCCTGCATTATCTCTAGGGGATTCTCATTGTGCTCCTCTAGAGAACTATTGGTATTTGGTGGGGATATGTCATTTGGTTTTTCATGTTATTATTTTTTTTCTGTGACTTTGACATGTCTGAATATTTTGTAGTTTCTGATTCTTGTTTGAGACTCAGGCCTTCAAATTTAGGTCTGCTTCTTTTTGTGAACTTTAAGTGTCTTTGTGGTTTAATTTTGGGCATGAAAAGCTGGTTCATCTTAGCTTCCAGTTCTTTCTTTTGATTTTATATTGGAGTGGCCTGATTGCTTTTGTCTTCAGTAGTTCCCACAGAGGCCCAATTCAGATGAAGATCAGATGTTTTCAGGCTTTCTCCTAAGGTCTGTATCCCTCCAGGAATGATTTTGGCCTCAGGAATTTGGGGTACGACTGGCCTGGGAGACTGGCCTAGGAAAGATGCTGGTATGGGGCAGCTGGTGGCTGTGCCACCCAGAGATGCAAAGGCAAATGGGGCAGGAAGAGGCCCCAAGGACTCCTGGGGACTGCACTGAGGAACTGGGTTGGTCTGGATTCAAAGGATCAGGAAGAGGAAAGGTCAGCTCCCTGTCTCAGAAAGAGGCTGGAGGGTGGTGCTGGCCCAGGGAAGTAGAGGGATGTGAAGCAGTGCTCCTGGGGCCCAGAGAAGGCACTACATTGGTCTGGATGAAAAGGATCAGGAAGCAGTATTGGTTCCCCAGGTGTCTGGGGACCCAAGACAAGGAATGGGGCAGCGCCAAAACTCAGAGGATCGAATGGCAGGGGAGATGGGGGAGGAATGGGGCTTGGGGATTCAAGGCACAAGGGCACAGTGGACTTACCCTGGAGAGAGGCCTGCGGGTAGCTAAAATATTTTTTTAAAAAGACTGTTCTTC